TAGAACATCTAGACACACATCAAAACAGCTCCCCTTTCCTTTTGGGAAGTGGTAAGGACTGAAATGAATGTCTGCAGGCTACAAGCAGCCCTACTATTTCTGGTAGCGACTTACTGCTATCCAGAGAGGGAAAATTTCTTCCAGGAAAGGGTACAGAAACCATCAGAAGTATTCACCTTTGACTTCATTCCGTTACCACTCTGCATTTCTCTCAGGCATCCCAAAATATCTAGAGATGCAAACAAATGCTAGCAGGAAGCACTCCATTTGCAAGTTTAATTAGGGGGCAGTGAAAGCCTCTCTAATTGCTTGCTACAGCAGTGGTAGCACGAGGGTAAGCTGCTGCTAGTAGGTTGTGGGCTTTAGTTTGTATTAAGCAGCAGCAAGACATTCCTCCCACTGGAGTGCAAAAAGGGAAAGTCAAGTTTATTCAACACCAAACAAACAAGCTAGCTAGGTTTTTTCTACATTGTGTGCTCACCACATCCATTTTCTGCCTTTGCTCTTGTGTTTATACCAGGCTGTTCTGCTGAAAGATCCCTGCTCAGGCTCAGCAAGATGGGGACCATGCTGAGTAGAGGCTCCTCTGTGGCAGGGTACGATTCAGAACAAGGTGGATATGCAGCCTGCTTCAGAGGAACACCACTACCAGAATCACCTCTAGGACATTAAGTTTGTCAATCACTAATGCATAAGCCAAAGGAACAGCAATTAAACAATGCATGGAAATGGAAATTTTTTAAATTACATCTATACTACGCACTCAACACCAGCAAAGCCTGTGCACAGAGTTCTGCTTTGTAATGTGAGAGCTTATTTATCACCATCAACTTGCTAAGCAAGGATGAAAGCAATGAGTGATGAAAGTACAAGAAATTAATTTGAAAGTCTGATGCAGGAAGGAAATCTCTATGCCACTCTTGAAAGCGCTCCTTAAGAAGCGCTGATGAGCACAATGCAGCTGAGGAACAGTGTTCTGAAATTCAGGAAGACTCCACTCCTAACCTAACAAGAGGTACACCTTCAAAGATGGCAAAACACAAGGAGGAGCAAATTATATTTTCCCTTCAGCAGCAATGAGCAGAATGCTTTGCTGATGGGCACCCTTTATTGTGTTCCCATGAGACTCCACTTGGAGTACAGTTCTGGACCCCTAACACAAGAAGGACATGGAGTAGGAACAGGTCAGAGAAGGGCCATGAAGATGGTCAGAGTGCTCCCCAACAAGGACAGGCTGAGAGCACTGAGGCTCATCAACCTAGAGAAGACTCCAGAGGGAGGGACCTTATAGTGGCCTTCCAGTACCCGGAGCAGGCCAACAGGAAAGCTGGGCGGGATTTTTTTTTTTATTAGGGCAGGTAGAGAGGACAAGGGAAAATGGCTTTCAACTGGAAGAGAATACATTTAGGCTAGATATTAGGACAAAATTCTTTACTTTAAGGGTGGTGAGACACTGAAATGGGTTACCCAGAAGAGTTGTGGAGGCCACCTCCCTGCAAGCACTCAAGGCCATACCAGATGGGGCTGTGAGGTTGTGATCAACCTGGTCTAGTGGAGGTGTCCCCCCCTACAGCAGGGGGTTTGGAACTAGATCTTAAAGGTCCCTTCCAACCCAAACAATTCTGTGATATGATAAAATGCAAAAGGAAGAAACACTTAAGGTCTGAGCACCTTAACTTCACAGTATTTAGGGCTACAAGCTGGAATCTGTCTGGTCTCACATCAGCCTAGTGCCTGCTGGGGGAAGGTGCTTTAAATGGCAATCAGGCTCAATACAATGAACACTTAGAGGTGTTGACTAACTCATTTGTCCCCCACTGAACGAAGAGGAATCAAGACCTCTTTCCCTCTGTTTCTAGAAGTCCGTTGGAGGAGAAAGGAGCACAAACAAAAACAGAGCCAGGGACAGAGCTACCTCCCTGCACGTTCAGCATGGCAAAGAAAAAGATGGGGTCATGTTGGCAAACAGATCTGATTAAGGATTCAGTATATGAGTGCCTCTGGGGTTTTTGTCTCAAAATGAGTGAGAGAAAAATATTTAGGATCAAATGACAAGAGCATTATTCCATTAATAAGGCATTATATTTACTTCCATCTTCAACCACTCTCTAAATCATCACTAAGGAAGAGCTGGAAGAGGAAAAAAGAGGTATTGTGTTCTCACTGTGGCATTCAATCACACAAAGCAAGATGCTTCAGAAACCCCACACAGAGGCACATCACTCCAAGAATCATTTGGCACTACCAGTCCTAATCACTGCACATCATTCAGCTGCTCTGATTGCCATTTTAAGTAAATATAATGCTTTCTCTGAGAAGAACAGCTCGTATCTGCATATTAATGGCACAACAGTTCAATCTCAACCATTTAAGTTCAAAATTCACACCCACACTTTAAACTTGGTCTCCTACAACAGGGAGCTGTTGGAGAGGGTCCAGAGGAGGGCCACAAAGATGATCAGGGGACTGGAGCACCTCCCCTATGAAGACAGGCTGAGGGAGCTGGTTTTGTTTAGCCTGGAGAAGGCTGTGGGGTGACCTCACTGCAGCCTTTCAGTACCTAAAGGGAGCCTACAGAGGGGAGGGGAATCAACTCTTTGAAAGGGGAGATAACTGCAGGATGAGGGGAAATGGTTTTAAGTTGAGGGAGGGGAGCTTTAGGTTGGACATCAGAGGGAAGTTCTTTACAGAGGGAGTGGTGAGGTGCTGGAACAGGCTGCCCAGAGAGGTTGTGGATGCCCCATCCCTGGAAATGTTCAAGGCCAGATTGGATGGGGCCCTGAGCAGCCTGGTCTAGCATTAAATGAGGAGGTTGGTGGCCCTGCATGTGGCAGAGGGGTTGGAGATTCATGATCCTTGAGGTCCCTTCCAACCATGGCCATTCTGTGAGGCTCTGATTCCCAAGAGGAAGCAGGAGCTGGACACAGGCAAGAAGGAAGAGGCACAAGGGTTCAATCCATTGGGTGCTGCTCTGCAACTTGAACCTGAATGAGGATCAGTTCTGCAGCACCTTGAGTGCTGCCTGGCAGGGTAACAAGCATTTGTTTTAAACTGAAGCCCACAGCAGGCAATAAAATGAGAAATAAGAGTGCTATCAAGACAGATCAATCTGCTGTCAGCTTTTCTTTACTGAGGGAGAGCCAAGACCAACTTACTTCATGCACTCTTCAAATGATTGCCTTACCTGGACATTACCACCACCCTAACAGCCAAAACCAGCTTTAGTCAGCCCAAGGCACCTTTAAGCAAACAGCTAAACAAGAGAGTCTGAGTCTCTTTCTTCATTTGCAACAGAGCAAACTGCTTCTAGTGTTATTAGACTATGGGAAAAGCAGTCCCAGGATAAAGTAATAATGAAGACCATTATACCAGCCTAAATCTGCTGCCTCACCTTCAGACCATCCAAATCAGAACATACAGACATCCAAGTGCTACACTAACACCTAGAAGCTGGTTAAAACCATTTCTCTGCTCTATGGGTCAGAGGAGGTGATGTTTCCATGTAATATACCAAACATGTTCTCAGTTGAGTCCTCAGTGCTGAGTCTCAAAAGAACAAGAAGCTGAGTTAAGCAAACTGTATCCCTTTAGATCTTGTACCTAATATGACTGGAAATGGTTGTACAGAGCTCAAGAACAGAACCACCAGCACAGATTGTGTGGGTTTCAGCATTCCTTCCCTGCAAACCTTGTTTATGTAAAACCTAAGGGATGAATGTGAGAGCTTGACAGGAAAAAGCAATGAAAGCAAGATGATGTAAAACAGACTGCTAAAAACCAGGGGAAGAAACATTTGATGTTTTGCAGTGAACATGTACTTTTTTTTTTTTAAATCACGAAAAGCAGACATCATAGTTGCGTGGAAGGGAAGAAAACAAGTGTTCACAACACGCTTCACTTTTATGCATCAAAACAGCTGCCAAAACACTATCCTGCAATTGTCTGTTTTCAAGTCAGCTCCCGCCTTGCTGCCTGGGGAAGCAGAACATTGCACAGCACAGATGACAGGGACCCCAGGTACGTGATCACCTTTTTTCTTTACCTTTCCATACCAAACACAATACAAGGCAGGGAACTGCATGCATTCAGCCCACACTGTGTTTATATAAGTCTTTAAATGCAAGTTTCTCTGTCAAGGCCTCCTAGAAACGCCTAACAAATCAGGTACATCACTTCAGCAAGGAGGGGGATCAGAGATGCTTACTGCTCTTTGGAAAAACACAAGCTTTATTTTCAGATGATGCAGATGGAATGAAAATGTTGCTAGCAGCCAAGGTAACAGTATGTGCCTGCAGTGAGATAACAGAAAACTAACCAACCTGCAATTATTTGTATTGGGTCAGTATGGGCTGGTAGTCCTGGGGACAGAGCTACCTCCACACACCAGGGATTACAGTGGGGTTAATCAGGTCTTCAATTTGCATAATAACAGGTAGGATGCCACATGCTCCATTACACAGGCAGACAAAACTAGAGAGTATGCTCAGCGATTTACCAACATGTTTCATGTCAGCACAAACATCCAGAACAGCTGTGTGCCGCTGTGGAAAGGACCTAGGGTTCAGAAGGGGAATGAAGCAGAGGTATCTCATATGGGGGGGATGGGGGAATACGTGCTTGGGATGCAGAAAGGATCAGGTGTCTCCAGGAACCTGGAGACAAGCTAGAAGGGAAAGATCAGGTGAGTTTTCCCTGAGAAGGTACAGCTCACAGGGCTCACTCATAACAAAGCAGCAAGGAAAAGTGATTGCAACATACAATTTTCTGGCATACCAGTACTTAAGAGGCAGCAATATTTTGACTGTAAACAGGACATCAAGCTCCCTTTGAAATACAGTAACAGTGAATAAGATAGATTTTTTTTTAATCAAAAACAGTACAACATTATAAAAGCTCAGAAGACAGTACTTGCACTTACACCTGGGCACAGTTAATAAGTACAGGAGTCTAGGTTAAAAAAATCTTATTGAGTAATTAGACTTAAGTGTGTATGTGCTCACCTTCCCATCATAGCGTTTCACTATAAACTGATCCAGCCCCAGATCTGAAAGAGAAAAGAAGAGTATTTACAAAAAATGTTTGTAGACAACACAAACAAGCATTTCTTGGTCTTTCAGACACCGCAGTGATTAAGAAGTAAAACAGTCTAAAGTACAAAGTGGAAAAATTATATTTTACATCTTCCTGTATGTACTTTATTTTGATCACAAAGGACAAACTTAAAGCATCAGAGAAGGAAACATCTATCCAGCAGGAGCAATAGCAGCTCCCAGCACTTCCCACAGGATCAAAAATGCCCACCCCAAAGGTGAAGGTTTCTGGTGTGCCAGTGGGCAGAGATCCTGCCCACAATGCTCCACATAAATGCACAAAGCTTGTTCTTAGTAGTATCTTTTGAACAGTTCACAAATAGCAAAATGAAGGATTGTTCCCATAAATGAGAAATACTCATACAAATCCAAACCTTCTTTATGTTGTAGTATAGAATTGTTCAGATGTAATCAGATTCTAAAGGCAAAGAGTTGTAACTGCATTCACAAGTGCTTTAGCTAGAAGGGTGCTTTGGAGAAAGGCAGAAAGGGACGTTATGTATACTAGGAAATTCACTCATACCAACACAAAGTACTTGTCTATCCCCAAGTGGGGAAAACAGCATTTTCAGAAGGGGGGAGCAGAGGCCTCCATCTGAACCACTGTGCATCTTGTACATAAGAGCCAGACCACAAAAAAAAAAAATAGTCAGGGAGGTTAATCTGAGGTTTGTAATACAAATCAAGACGATGCATCCTATGGAGATAAAGCAGAACTTGAACCAAATGCTTTCAGCAGTCCAGGAGCACAGGGGCCAATTTTCTTTTCTCTGAAGAGCAAAACCCTCCAAATAGCTACATCCCATGCATTTTCTGTCACTGTTTATGATAATTATCACATGCTCACTTCAATTTAAATTAGAAAAGATGAAAAACAAAATAAAACCTCTTCCAGCTCACTTGAAGGAGCAGCACACAGCCTGCTGCATCATGTGCCTGTGAAGAAGGATGGTAAAACACCTCCCATCCACTGAAGAAACTCATAACGCTTACAGTGCTGAAAATGAAGTTATTCATCACTCCAGGGTGATCTCCTCAACCTTTCTGAGGTTGAGCAGCTACAACTCCTCTGTCAGTGTCAAAAGCAAAGGTGGCTGCCAGAGGGCTTTCTGTGTGTGTGTGAATAGTCAGGGCACCTTCTCACCATTTTGCATGCCCAACAGCGGAAAAATTGCACATTCAAGCACTTTCAGAACACAATCTTTTCTTCTGATGAACTTTATGTCTGAAGTTACAGGATAAATAGAGCCACGCTGAGAAGCAGGTTTTGCTTAATGCATGTGTTCATTTTGCCAGAGAGGTCACATAGCTGAGGCACAGCCCTTCTGCCCATCCAGATGATGAGCAGGGCTGCTGTATGCCATACATTGCACACAAGTCATTTCTCCTGCACACTCCATCTTCCCATGCCTGAAAAGAGTGCCTAAGACACATCCCTGAAATGTACTCACAGAAAGCTATGAGAGGACACAGGGTAAAAATAGCAGATGAAAGTATGCCTTAATGGCAAACTGCTCACACTTGTCACTGAAACCTGTTTGCTTTCCTAGCAAAGGAGACCCAAAATGAAGCAGCATCAAGGACGGACCAACAGCTGCTTTGATACATACAAATATTTACAGGAGTCTGTACTTATATATGGGAAGTTATTAAAATACCACTTAAAAAAGACAACCCTAGTATGTATGCTAAAGGAAAAGGCAAATAATATAAACTCAGTGCTCTCCACAGATGTAACATGAGGTGCAAAAAAGGAGATGCAAAGGAGCTGTTACTGGAGGCAAATACAGAGCACCACAGAAGTGACAGCAATAGACAGCAGTGGAGAGTCAGCAACTAACCACTGTGATGAAGTTCTAACTGCAGTGGATTGGCCTCGGGACTGGTTCAGCTAGCACAGATGTTTGCTTTCATGCATTCCCCTGCTTGCTATTGCACAGCATGGGAAACGCAAACACCCAGGTAGCATAAAGTTAACCCTGCAAGAGACGTACCTACAGCTTTCTCCAACTCCATCCCAACATCCAAGCTGCCACGTCTGCCCTCAAGCTGCAGAGCTCTGAGCATGTCCATATTCACTGAAGAAACTGCTTCCAATATCAAGCTGCTACAGAACAGTGATCACTGTTACCTGCATCATGTCAGGATGCTTCACTTCTGAAGAGAGGCCAATAACTTTGTTTTATGCATCTCTCAATGATGAGAGATTCACATGTGCCACTTTTGCTGCCCTTTCTCATGTTGCTATGTCAGCATGGATTGGAAGAAAGCATTACACACAAGAAGCACAAGCACACTGGCTCACAGCAGTTCATTATGTTCACCTTGCCTCCCAGCCACAGATAACAACCCTTCACTTTTGCATTACCTAAACCACACGTTGAATTCATCTATAACATTCCCCTTGCAAGAGCTCCTGACTAAGCTAATTCAAACACTCTGAAAGTTAAGCCCAAAAGGCATGCATATGTTCAAGGCATACAGCTTTATTTCCATACATTTTTCCCTTCTCCAATAGTTTTTTCTTTCTTTAAATGGGCTTAGCTGCCTATTTTTCCACTAGACCTTAATCTTTCAGGCTGACATAAGGAAAGCAAAAGGTGGACTTCTGCCTGATGCCTATGTTCTTCTTTCTTTACATCACATGCAAAAAACAGAAGCCCTTTCCCAAGGAAACTTTAACACAGAAGGAATTCAGCATACACTTATGCTGTAAAGCTAAAGTGAGATCCAGCAAAACAGGAAGGTTGCATGAAGGAAGACCAATGGGAACAAAGAAAGGTAAGGGCATTAGTTGTTACATTTCTGTGACCCAAAAGGCAGTGTTCTAAGCTACAACTGCTGTGAAATTCCTGCATCTGTGCCTGGGGTCATAAAGCAAGAAGCCCCTGGCTGGGCTGCTGCCAAGGAGTTGCAGGAGCACAGGCTAACACATGTGCCTAACAGCAGCATGACCTTTGCCACCATTCTGTACAAAGCCAAGGCTGGAGTGCCATTCTCCCAGAAACAAAGGATTTCCTCCAGGAAGTGACCAGGAAAACCAGGAACTGTTTCAGGAGGTTCCCGCGAGCCATTTGCTTCATTAAACCTCTCATTTGCTGAAAAGCAGTACCATAGATGCCACCAGGACAGCTCAGCTCATTTCTGCTTAAAATCACCGATGCATTAGCCACAGGAAACACCAGGAGCACCTGATGCACAACAATTTCTTTGTACAAAGAGCCTTCAGCAAGTCATTCAACTAAAGTAACAGGCCTAGATTCCAGAGAAGAAAAATGAAAAAGCCAACTCCTTAACATATTCTGAAAAAACACAGTATTGCTTGAAGACCAGCCCAACATGACCAACATGAGCCCATTTTGCAGGCCTCCTGCACTTCTCCTGCAAAGTCATCCCATGCCAAAGAACAGCCCACAGCTCACATCAGCTTGATCTCACTGCAGCTATTTTAAACTCCTGAAGGAAACCTCAGAGCTATGAACCACCCCAACCACATCTTTTACTTAAGTGAAGCACTGTGCAGCAACTCACTCCTTGCTACATACCTGGGTTTCAAGGCTCTTTTTGCTTACCCAGCCACAGGTTCTGCACCAGCCATTCCCCTCCAGGAGCATGAATGATCTGCAATGACTTCCAAACCTGCCTGCCACAGCCAGTCTATTCATGGTCTTCAAGTACCACACTAGTGTACTGTACACTACTCCTACAGATTCTGATGGCACTTGAAACACAATCACAGAACCAAAAGCAGCAGCAGTGCTGCCACAGAGGAAGCAATGAATCCTAGCATCACCCTAACTGTTATTTCAAATTAGATTGACACCACTCCACCACCAATTGCGGAAGTGTACTGCTCCACTCTTATTTGCTTGACAGTAGATTTCCAGCACTAAAAAGAAAAATGTTTTAAAGTAAATCAAAATGACTTATACTCTCTGCCTGCCACACTGGGGAGAAGACCATTCAATAGGAGAACTCTGTACTTGCTTCTTTCATTCACAGGTGGGAGGGATGTCTCATGGAGAAGAAAATATTGCTACAGAGAAAAGAGAAAAAACCCACAGAACAACCTGCTGCTACTCTTGTTCCACTCTAGTAAAAAATAGAGAGATACTGGTTATATTTCTATTGATTAATGAACATGTACACACCACAGGTTCACTCAAAGCTAACTAATTACCATGCTGCTAAGTATCTGAACAGTTACTAAGCTCTTCATGTTATCCTGGAAAGAAAGCCATGGGCAGCAGATTATAGATCACAGTTTTGAAAGGTATTTAACAAATGAGCTTCCAGAAGAATGGATTTCCTCTGTGAAGTCAACAGCTTTCCACTGTGATGGAGCAACCTTTCAGCTCCCTCTGGTTCTTAAGTTTTCATCAGATTTTCCATCAATTGTGTAACAGTCATTCAGTGGCTTTTCCTTTCCCATCGGTTATCATGACACAAACTCCTCGCAAGTAGATGAGCAAAAGGACCACTTAAAAAGAACGATGCACACAACATGCTACATTAGGAAAGGATAAAATACTAGACTGAGTTTTCCCATCCAAAGCCATAACCCAGCTTTGGTTTTCAGTTGTTTTTTTTTTTTTTTGCTGAATTTAAGATGCCTGAGATTTGTCAGAGGACACCAACCTTGAGTATACACTAAAGTTAGGAACTGTTTTGTTCACATCCATTTCCCCTTTTCCTAGCAGGCAAGTTAGCACCTCTGATGTATGCATTCATAATATAACGCAAGGGGAAATGGTCTTAAACTAGACCTGGCATCTCTAGTTTCCTCTTGGGTCTTAGATATCCTTGTTGCATACCTTTAGGGTTTTATACAAGCCTAGGGAGTCCTTCTCTTCACTTATAAGACTGAGAGAACACTTGTCACACAATTCATGACCGCTTACTCTGTAGAACGTGAAATTTGTACATTTGAAATCCAACCAAAATAACAAATAGCTTCGAGTTGCTACAATACTGGGTGTAGTTATCTCATGTTCAACTGCTCATGTTTGCCAAGCATGACAAATCATTTTTAAACCTGGAATTAACCTATACAGTCTCAACACCTTTCCCCTTGCTCCATGCAAAGTTTCAAACGATTTCTTCCAGTGAGGCCACAAGAGCTTTATCACCTTTCAAGCATTCACACACCAAAGCACTGCAAAGCATGAGGAGCTCTGCTATATACCAAAGAAAGAATGGTGAAGCTCCTAAGCCTGGCACCAAGTATTTAATTTTGCGACTACATACTCCAAAAAGTGATACTGTGTCTAAAGGTCTGTTGCATTAAGTTGATTTTTTTTTCCTCTTTTTACATACTTTGTTACATAAGCCTTCATATTTTTCAAATTCCACTCTGCAGAAGCCTGTACACCAATGCTGCAGTTCTGCCTTAAAACAACATGGCCTCAGTCAACAAGTTGGAAGAGCTCAGGACAGAATACATCAGCTCACTCTGTTCTTCACAGTTCCTATTCTCCAGCACCATCTTCCTGCCTGCAAACACTGCAGGGGCACAGCTGCTGCTTTTGGCAGCACGTATCTGGTTTCTCGCAGACAAAAAGGGAAAAATATTACAGGATATGTCCAAGACTTCAGGTTTTTGAGCTGCTGCAGTGTGTGGTGGATCTTGAAAGACATCTATTATGCAAGCAGGAGTTTGCATTAACTAGGGATGTTAATATGGATGGAAGAACAGAATTGGTTTGGGTACAATCTGTCTTTTTCTAGTGTGCTGTCAAGACACACAGGTTTTTTTCTTATTGAATCCTTATAACAAAGACAAAGAAGCAAATGAAGGCAGCAGGATTTTCACAACCCAGTCTAGGTTCTAGGCACACAAAGAAGCAAATGAAGGCAGCAGGATTTCACAACCCAGTCCTGCAATGAGCATCAGCACCCCTGTGCACACAGCCAAGGCGAAGGCACAGAATTGTGTTATTGCATGGGATGAGGAGGCAATGGCTTTGCAGCACAAACCTAGGAATACCACTTGCAGAATACCTCGGGGTCAGCAGGACTGCAGGGAAGCCCATAACTCAGTTCAAGCATTAGCCCATGATTACAGCCCATACGATTACAGCCAGCTGTGTGACCGCATGACAGATTTCCAAGGAGCACCCAGGGATGAAGGCAGGACGCTCCCACCCAAGCGGAGGGCACACCTAAATCATGACTAAGGGAGAAAGCAGCTCCAGCACTTCCTTAATCATCTATAATCTAGATTACCCTATGAGTCAAAAGTACAAAACAAATGTTCAGTGCAAAAACAAATCAGCCAGCAGGTAGCAGTATGTCTTAATGAAATTTCTGGTTTAAAAAAAAAAAAAAAAATCAGATCTCTGATCTTTTACAACCAGCTCGTAAAACATTTGAGAACAAGGTTATGGCTGGTTTGACTTTACTGTGGCACTAAATGTTTTATTTTTTCTAGAGCTCATTATGTATTTAAAAATCATTTACCATGATTGGCGCTCATAAAGAACAAGCAACCTAGCAGTAGCTTTGTCTGTAAGCAAATCCACAACAGTAATGGTCCTCAAGACAGATTTTCAAGCCAACAAGATTAAAGGCTGCCTACCCCCGTTTTACCTGCTGATGGGCAGCCAAGGCCCAATTTCTTTTTCATTCCACTTTCTAAGAGTACCTGTATGACTCATGAATGTAATTTTTTCTTCCTTATAGACTACTTCGTGGCACTGACCAGCAGCACTTGCAGGCTCTTAAAAGGCTGTGAGGAGCTTCAAAGGGCCATTTAAGCAGCTCACCTAGCCAGAATGATAGTTACAGCATAAAGTTAGCTACTTGTAAGGCTGACAAATTGTTCACCTTGGTTTGCTTCCAAAGCAGATGTTGCTGAGCACTCCTTCACATTTTCCGCATACACTTAAAAATACACCAACAACTTGCATTGCATGGAATAAGTAGAGGAGAACGAGATGTCCTAAAATTAAGCATAGGACTGCTTCTATTTTTAAACTGAGAAAAAATAATTTAGATGGGAAGACTCACATTCAACCAGGTGCTACTGCTTTTCAGAGCACTAATTCAAGGAGCTTCAGATGTATAAAATAGTAACAAATTCAGTAACTATGAACATTATCTTCTGTTGATTGCTCAAACTATTCCAGCACCAGTGAAACCATGTTACTCATCTGAAGAGCTACAGCCATTTTCAGAAATTGAAGACATTAATATAAATTCAACAGCATGTTCTAATGCTAATGACAGCACTATTTTTGACTTACCTCCTGCACACGCTTCATGTTGTTGTTTTCTAAGCACAAGTGTACAGGATTTATTTAGCAGCTGTCACATAAGTTACAAAAACAGTTTCATAGTTAGTATATAAACCCCACTCTGAGAAAGTTAACATTTGGGGCTTGAGGCTCTCCATTAATGCCTGCAGTCAGAAAAGGAGTTTCCTCCTTTGGGATGCGCTGTGGGAAAGCAAGCAGCTTTCTTTCCTACAACTCAGCCAAAATAAGTCTCCTCCAAAACAGAAGAGAGAAAATCTTCCCAAGCCCCATAAAATCCAGCCTCTTACCAAATGCACAGGAGAGATTTTCATACTAAGAAAAAACACTGCTCTTCACCCTGTTGCCTCCCAAATCCCTACAGGTGCCACAACTGATATGCTTCACAGCAAACAGGGAAACTGGAGCAAGCAGAGAAGAGCCCCACCCCAGCCAGCAGCACCACAGCTCAGTCAGGCACACAGGGCTGCCTGTACCCCTTTATGCATAAGGTTTTCCTTGTCAAAGCACCTCCTTCTACAGGTTTAGGTACTGATCTGTTAGTGCTCCAAGTGAAAAAATTCTTTCACTATTAAAAACGCAAGGAAGCTCTCTCTTCATGGGCTCATAATAAAGAGATCTGATATACTGCAGTAGTACTTGAAGCAACAGGAAAGAGATCAGGGCTAATCTTGTTTTTGGGAATAGAGCTGGGACAGCTAGCTTCAGGAGCTGCTTTCTGCCCCTACCCTAGAAACCCTGAGTTTTAAACTCATAAGAGGTGTACTGGGATCAACACTTACAAATCTGAATTATTACCATTATTTGGGAACGCTGCAAGGAAACCTTGCCTACAAGGCAAGTACTACAAGTTTACACGGACACACAGCAGGCTCTGCTGGAGCAATGAGCACAGCTTGTGCACAGCTGAGCTGGTAGCCCTCTGCCTTACTCCTCTGCTCATCATTCCTGTTATCTGCTTGCACTCCATAAAAGCGTGGGTCAAGAACAGCTTCTTTACCAGGGCAGTACCCCAGGCACTAGTCAGAGAGCAGCCCCCTCATTCTGTGCTGTGCACGGCAATATAACAAGACAGATGATAGGCAACAAAAGAACAGTTTGATGAGAAGTTTAAAGATCAGGTAAGAAGAGACTGAAGTTTACTCCCTGTTGCTGTACTAGTTTCTCCAATTACTACACACATACATCACTTACTTTCTGGTTGTTTTTCATTAGGTGTTATTGATCTCACGAAATCCTGCGGTGTCATAAAAACCTCAGATTCACCGTGTTCATTTATCACTTTCAAAGTGGCGAAGTATCGGAAGATTTTATCTGGTGTGGAGTAGGCTCTGATCCGGTTCTCATATTCCATCACCTGGGAAATAAATTTAACCAGCATTAGACTTCAGACACCAGAACTAGGAGCCACCATAATACTGTCGAAGGTTTTGCCAAATATCCCTCCTACGCTCAGCTTCTGAGCCACCAGAAAAACTGCAGGTATCAGCTCTTGATGTCACAGGATTAAGAACGCTATGAGAATTAACTAATGGTAAGCTTTGCTTCTCCTCCGCCATTATGAAGAATAAGGTGAAAATAACCCTGAAGACACCTCAGTATTCATTCTAAACATAACAAAGCACCAATAGTAAGTTTGTTAACCTAAAGCATCTCAGCATTTTCAACCAAACTCAGTGCTGAAGGGTGTGACCCGACTGGTATATGAACTGATGGAAGAAAAGCAATCATTGAGATGGGAAAGAACTTCACTTCCACATTGAGGACTGGAAAAAATCCCTTGGAGCCACAGCTGTTTGCTAGATCAACGGTTTTTCCCCCCCTCTTTTCTACCACCTTGGCTAAAACCCACAGAAATGTTCCTCGGTCAGCCCACTTGCTCATTTGTTTTCTTTTGTTGCCAGTAGTGATTTTGTATCTAGAACTGTTTTCCCCTAAGTGTACAGCTACAATTAATCAAAGAAAACAGAAAGCTTTTATAAACAAAATCATTCCCTCTGAGAAGAAAAGGCACCAAGACCCACACACTGCAACATGTTAGAGCAGACAACTTTGTTAATTTGGCTTTTCATTTCTGCATTATTATAAACCATGTTTAGTCCATTGTGTACTTGAACCTTCAGTGCTTCTGGCCAAGAGCCACAGAACAAAACCAACAATCTGCTGGAAGACACCAGGCAAGATCAAGGATACTGCCAAGTCACCTGCAGATATTTACTACTTTGGTCCTCTTTCAGCCTTGTCCTTTAACCTTAACATTTCCACCCTGATGTTTATCAAAGGAAAGCACCCTCTCTAATCTGTCAAGGGACTCAATCCCCTGTCCAGGGAGCACAGAGCCTTTCCCCAGCACATGCTATAGCTCAGTCCTCCAGCACTCTGCACCAATGCTCTGCTGTGCTGACAGCAAGTCCCACCTGCACCACTGGAGGTACTGATGTGGCTCTGATATTATCTTAAGCCCTCCTTCCACTCTTCATAGCACCACGACAGCTGGGTGGTCACACCCATCAGGAACACAGAAACATTCCTACAACCAGTTCCCTTCCCCACAGCCATCTGTCAGTTCACAGAGCCTCTCTCACCTCTCCCTCTAGCCTTTGCACCCTACAAACTTAACACAAAGTCCTCAAAGATAGCAATACTGGATGGAGACCAATTATCCTATTGCCTCTATACCTGTTCTGAGATATTTCTAAGATGCTACTCGGCAGGTCTGTGACTGCCAACTGCTCTTGGTTTTAGAGCACAGGTCTTGCAGCTGCTCCTCCCCTACTGAAGGTACAAAGTCAGACGGCTGCCTCCTTACAGGAGGAGAGTCACTGCCAATTCTCCTACCCCTACCTTAGGGAAATCTTCAAGGCCTCTGCTTTACTGCAGCGAGGCAGCTTACATTCTGCATTGACTTCAGACACAGCAACTTTCCAACACGCCACTCAGGTTTCACACTACATCCTCAAGACCATCACGATCAGCTCTGGCAAGAGAAGCAGAGTGCCCCTTTACTACATCAGCCCTCCCATTCCACCTACACGTACTGCAGAACACAAAGCTTCCCCAGCTGACTCCCAAGCACTCATGAGGATACAGTTATGAACACACGGCTTGAGAGCAGAAAGGATTCCACTCCTTCAAATGAAGCAGCAAAACATCCCTGCAAAAACAGAACGCAAGAATGCAGTATGTGGAGAGCTGACCATTCATTTTGCACTCAGCCAGAGGAGCAGACAGCAAAGAAGGAAATTTAAGGGTTTTCTTATGGCACATTTTCCTGAAAACATACAAAGAATGATCTTGAATAACTCAATCTGGACCAAAAAGTGTCCCTTCTAACACATTTGTTTAGATTCCAACAGGCTGTTCTCATCACAACTGAAATCACTTCTTCCCCACACTTCCCAGAGAAATGAGCAAATGCAGCAGTACACCAACCCTGCTGCCTACACTGAACTCACCATCACCTCACTGCGGATACATGATCTCACTAACTGGCAAAGACTAACCAGTATGCTGTACAACCTCTGACCACAGGGCTGGGCTGATCACGAAGGCAGTTCCAGAAAGGAGTGGCTGTGATCTGGCAAAGGAGAACAGCTCCCTTATTCAAGATTCTGGAAAGTGGAAAGCAAGCATTAACAAGGATGCCCTGACTATGACATATTAGGTATGTTTTTCCTTTCCAAAAGAGAGAAAAGGAGCATTTATGCATGCACACATCCTGTTTGTGAGGTTTTTACTCAACTAATTCTAAACAATCTTGACAAAACCATCCTATATAAGCCTCTTCCCACAGCTCTCTTGCCAAAATACTCCAGGTACACTCCTGGCAAAGCACTCATCCATATAAGCTTCCTTTCCCCGTTCCACAAAACCACAGAACAGTTTGAATTGGAAGAGACCTTTAAAGGCCATCTAGTCCAACCCGCCTGCAATGAACAGAGACCCCTACAGCTCCATCAGGCCCTGTCCAGCCTGACCTCAGGTATCTAGAGGGATGGGGCACTACCACCTCTCTAGGCAACCCACTATATACCAGCCCCAGATGCAGTGGAGACCAGCCAAAAATGGTAGACTTGTCCCCAAAGAACTGCAGTCTCCTGCAGTGAGGGGCCCCCAGACAGTATGCAGCTAGAAGGGAAAAGTTCCTCTTCGGCATTTCTTTAAAGAGCACAGAGAAGAAAGATGAGCTAGTAATCCCTATTGCTTTACAAAACTGAAGCTGCTGTTGAGACTGTCACGTTTATGCTAAGCCTTGGGTTAAGAGGGAAAAAAACCCACGCAGACACGAAAATAAAGCTCTAAATTAACATCTCTATTCACTTCCAGAGCATCACTTCAGCCTCCCTGTCTGCAAGAGAAAAGGATCTCTGGCAGTCCAGCTTCATTGCTCACCCCAGGCACACTAACAAGGTAGATTAATTACTGTTTGTTTTCATGGAGTTTCCTGCTGTACCACACACCAAGATGAAGTCTCAGCAGAATTACTGCTCCTGAGGCAGCATACCTGCTGGACCCAGCAACTGCTGTACACAAATCTCCATAAAGCATGCAAGATCTTTAGCAAATCAATAAATCAACCCACTTGTGTGATATACACCTACTCGTTAACCTCTGAACAAAGAAAACCCTTAAACCACCTTTTCCTTTTCTGCCCCACACAGCACACACTCCAATGGCACATGCTCTGGACGAGTCACACCAGCCCTACACCCAGCGATTTGAATTGCAGTTTCCTCCTCACTGAATCTCTGCCCAAAATAGCAATGTCACTTCTCATTTATTATTTCACCACTGATCAGCTTCATTAAAAGCAACATTGGGATAAGAAACAAGTGTTGAAATTAAGCTTAATTGAAAGCATTTTTCTCAAGGAAAACTCCCACACTATTTTCAATTACAGGAAGAGCTGGAAAATTTTTTATTGCACTTTTGCTTTTTGTTTTACTGAACATACAGAAGAGCCAGGCGTTCCCTGGGTGCTACACCCGACTGACGGGGAGCAGAATGCCCTGGGAACAGCCCTTTGTGAGTCAGGAGCCAGGCACACCTTCCTTTGCCATCAAAGCACCCAGACTGACTCACTGCCCCAGCACCAAGCACCCACCCCCACTGGGTCTGCTCAGCCACAGAGCACAGCACCTCTGTTTCCATCGTGCATTTCATGAAGAAAAGCAAGACCAGCACTTGGTTCAGAAAAGGCACATCTGGTCTTCAGGCTGGAGAAAAAAGGGCCTGCATTTGAAAGACTGTGAAATCTGTTTTAATCTGTACTCTTCCCACTGAAGCTGCTGCTCCCAAGTCAAGCAGGCTGCATGATATTCCCAGCACACCCCTTCGGAACCCTCCATGGCTGGCTCGTGTCTTACTTGGAAGCACAGCCACATTCCTCCAGCCTAATATGGGAAGGAAGAAGCTGCTCAGCATGGGCACTGTCTCCTAACAACTGACTGAAAGTCCTAGCTTGCAAGAGAGTGTTCCCCAGCTTCTTCAGCCAAAGCAACAAACCATGTAAGAGATCAATCGCTACACTCAAAATATTATAAAGTGTTCTTTCTGAAAAATAAAAGCATGTGTGAAGGTGGATCACATCTTTGCTCTCTGCAACCTGCCTCCATCTGTCCACAGTGAAGAAATAATCTACTCTTCTTGAGTGGTACTGGCACAAGTGAAGCCTCTGCTGAGGCTGTCAGGCTACCTGACTGTGAATTGACAAGAAAAAAAATAAGGAGCTGGGAATTCATATTCCCTGGACAATTCTGAAAGTCTCCGTGTAGTAACTTGCAACATAAATTCAGAACAGAATGTCACAACGGGGAAAGCCCACAGCCCCAAACACCACATAGCAACTGAAACTTGTGTAATCTAATCAAGAAGAAAATAAGATTCAGCAACCTCAAACAAAAGTTACAGCGCTTTTTTTGGTTGTCGTATGCTTTTTCTGGTTTTTGCTTGTTTGTTCTTTTTTATGAAAAGCTGTTAAGCCACTCTATGACTATCCACAATTTAACATATAATGTGATGCAGCCTCCAGGATATGGACTTAAAAATAATCACCAGAAACAAATTATACAGAAAAGGAATTGTGAAGAGCATATACTCCCATTGTCCTCTTTGGCACTGCAGAGATATTAAATCATCAAACATAGCCCAATAAAACTGACATCCAGACAAGCTTAAAAAATAAAATACTGCAGCCTGCCAACTCCCAGTTACAGGACATTCCATCAGGCCAAGTTATACATCCTGTAATAACAGCATGCTTACAGATAGCACCAAACCAGGCAGACACTTCTGAACAACCCAAAGCTCTCAGGATTACCCACCAAAGGCAGGTCACAAGCTGATGATACAACTCATTACTCAAACTTTGCTCCTCTTAAGAAAGCTTCTCATACAAAAATAGGCACAGCAAACAGACGAACAGGATGCTTGCAGGTTTAAAGCCATTCACTGGTTCCCTGTTTTGCACTCACCACCACCAGCTATGAAGCAGAGAACCATCCCTCAGACATCCAACAAGAGGGAAGAAAAGGGGTGCTGAGATTCAGAGGCTCTGTACTTCCCAAAAAGGCAGGTTTAAATTTCAAGAAACTCAAGGTATCATGCCAAAGAAGGAAGTTCCCAAAATAGAACAGCCATTTTAGAAAAACAAAGACAAGCACAGCCCAAAAGCCTGACTGAATGTCAGTCAGTGCTATACTAAATGATTAATAAAGCATTCTGCAAGTTCACTCCATTTCTCCACTGCCATACAATTGCTGCAGGTAGAAGATAACCAAGTTTCACACCTTACGATCTCTGAAGCCAGAACGCTGCTTCTTCTTCCCTTCTGGCTGAGCCTGCTCACTGCCCGATGCCACGGCCCTCCTGCCCTCATCGCCGCCGCTCTCTCCCTCCTCCCGGTGCTTCACCTTCTCACCCGACTCTGCCCTTGAGTCACGGTTCACGGAGTCTTCTGCATAGGCCCTGCAACAAGCAGAAAGACGACAGTTCAGAAAGTTAATGAGAGGACTGATTGGGAAGAGCACACCATAATTCCTCTAGCCCTAAATTCCACTAGTTTCTCAAAAAAAAAGATTTCTATAGAAGTGACAGATGTGCTTTTGACTACCAGCACTGAAGGATTCAGAAAGAACAGGATCTCCATTTCAGCACAACTGATGTATTTTTTTTTTTTAATATCTCCAACAGCCGACAGACTGTTTTATTTCTCTCTTTTACCAACAACTTCTCTAAATCCCAATATTTTGGGATCTGCAACAACAAAAACTAGAGTTACTTATCCTCACACTAGAAGCTCTCTGTAGGCAGGGTAAAGAAAGGACCCTCTCTACTGGTCAGACACAAGATCATCAGCAGCCCTGCATGTAGCCAAGGCACTACTTAAAGTCTCCGTCTGAGCAACGTTTAGAACCACCAGCTAACAGTGTGGGGGTTAAACAGAAACATGATCCACTCACAAGCCAGACAAGGCCACATCTTTTCTACACCTTATCTGTAAGGCAGTTAATAACCAGAGCTCAGACCACATCAAGCATCAGTAGGGTTACAATCCCTACACATGTTAACTTATCACAAACTTTGCAGCTAACAGTTTGGTTAAACTCACTCCTTTCTGAGGGCTCTAACAGGTGGGGCAGCCATCCCAGCCCGCTTGTAACTTCAGCTAAGGTACCATTACTTCTGTGTTCCTGGGGATTTATTTTGGACTAATCACACATACCGGGCTCACACACAGCTGGGTGCTGCTCATTAGCCAGCAGCCAGCAAAGGAAGGCTGGTGCTCTGTGCTCCCTGCAACCACAAACATGATTATTTACAGCAGCATGACTTGGTTCAAAAAAAAAAAAAAAGCTGCCTTTAGAGAAAAACAAAAGTAAACAGGATTTTGGAAGTCTCCCAAGCTTCAAGCAAAAGGCTCTGCTCATTTCATCATTTCATCCTACCAGCTTCCCAACAAACAAGCATGGTATGCAAAATAGAAGTGTATACACCTCTCTAGCAACACAAAGCTTTGCAGCAACCTCAGCAGGTCACATTCCAAGAAGAAACAAAGCAAGTGCTCCTTCAATTAATTTAGATGTTACCAAGGTAAAAAAAAACTCCCCCACTAACATTCAATAATTCACTAATAGTTACAGTATAGGATTAATTTCTAAGGGCTAAACAACTCCCAAACCTTGGCCAGGAGAAAAACTTACCCATGGGAAACAATCAACTTTATAGAACAAGCTCCTAAGAAGCATGCTTAAGAACAGAAAGGATCACTATGAAAGCAAGCTGATTTTTGTTTCTATTGTGATAACTGCAGCAGACTACCAAAAGAAGTCCAACAGCTGCCACCGTGTGCCCAGCTTTACTTTGAACACAACAGCCCACTATCCTACAGCTGGGTTAAAGCAGCTTGGAGACTTCTAGCCTGAAGTGGGAGAGAATACATCAAACATAACACCGGGAGAGCTTTATTTAATAAAACACACAAATGCTTGGTGAAGTAGTGTACTAATGAAGCCTCTTTGCACAAAAAAGAGAGTAATGTACCAGCCTATGCTTCCTTTAAGTATCACCATCTTTAAGACTTGCACTGAACCACATCTGGTTCCAACTGCACAGCAGTTGGACAATGTGGGGAGCAGACCAGCAACCACACTGCTTCATTTTGGTCAATGCATGGCTGGCTCCAGCTGAGACTCCAGCAGCAGTACTAACAAGGAAAACCCTTGTCTGCAGGCAGGATATCAGCCCCAGACAGCTTAAAGAGAATCCCTTGGGACAAGGTTCTGGGGACAAAAGCAGCAAAAAATGATTGCTTGTATATACAGCTAAGCTACTCCATATTAAACATGCCAGAGGATAGCTGTATCAGGGAAGATTTGCTCTTGTAACACTTGACTGACAGCAAACCAGAGAAGGGATAAATAAAATTTACAAATCAAACATTTTCAGCAAAACCTACGCGTTCCTTCAATCCATCTTGCTGTCAAGCTAGACGGCTACTGTGATGCAGACAGACTCTTCAAACACAGTAGGCTCCCCATCCTCCCTCCCCACTTCTAGTTGATCTAGGTAATTAACTCTCCTCTACAGATGGATCACCTTCCCACCATACAAGCAAGATGAAATATGAGAATAGAAGCAGAATTTATTGCCTACTTCACAAGCACGGTTGCAAACAGTATCTGTTATTCCTTGCCTCCAGGCCGCAGTCCAAACTACTCACTGAGTTCACCACTGCTCCCCACTACACCTACAATGAGGTATTTTATGTCCTGCACAATCCCCCCCCGTTTTAAATCTTGGCTTTCATCACCTGCAATATCCATACTGCATCCATATAAAGGAGTCCTTCAGTGCAGACACCAGCACAGGCAACAGAATCCCACCTTTCCAGAACCACACCCTGCTACGCTGCCACCAGAGACTCCGCAGCCTCTTCTGAGCAGAGCCACTTGCCAGCTGTAACTTTGTTTCCATTCCCCTGCTCAAGTCAGCATGCCAGCTCTTCAATCAGCAAGAACAGGCCTGCTGCTACAACTTCTACATGAAGAGGGGACAAAAGTAATCAAGACTCACTTCACTGTGCATCAAGATAAGCTGCCAATCTTTCTCCACTTAGCGTCCTGGATGCAAGCTGCCAGGCTTGGAACCTTCTGGTCTCCTTGGGATTTTTCCTCCCTGCTGAACAAATTAGAAGGCAAAGAGTATTTCTCACCTACCTAGTACTCTCTCCTTGTTAACTCTTGGAGAAAGCCAACAATCAAGTCTAAGACAGCATTCATCTCTGTCAACAGAAGATCCTTACCACAGCAGGTTACTCAGTGCTAACCACTCACTTGGCAAATCATTCAAGAAAGCCAAACACATGCAACCATAGGATCTACATCCAAGAAGGATCCTGCAGTTTGTACCAGGGACTGGAAAAAGGCTCCAGTTGCAGCCTTCTCATTTAAAGAAGTTACAATTCCTCATTTTGAAGAGTTTTTCTAGAGCGTCTAGATAAATCAAATGGAAGTATTTTGAAATAACAAAGCTTTGTGCCAGAGACAACAGTGCTCAGTTATTCTAATCCCAAAAGCAGCAGAAGAGTATTCAGCTACCAGATACCAGATAAGTAGGCTCAGAAGGAAACACGGAATCTAACTAACTTGGGCATCCAGGTGTCAAAGACCTTGCCACAGAACCAGAAGCAGAGGAGATGAATCCTGCCTGACAGACACATTTTTCAGCAGAACAGAGCCACAATACTCCTTGCATACAAACATCTTATCTGGAGACACCTATGTGAGGCTTAAAGCCACTTCAGGCTTTCATAATGAAATGCAAGAGCAAGCTTTGTCTGCTTTGGATACAAGAGACAAAAATATGCATTCTCCAATAATGGAGAGACTAGGTGACAAGCTGTCTCATCTTCGCTCCACCACAACCAATTACTAAGATATTAACCTGAAGTGATGAATATCCAAAGCCCAGTTTCTCAGGACTTTCTTTCCCACAAATCTCTTTACTACTTACTCTTTATTTTCCAAAGCATTTGATATTAACACAAGTCAGCACAACTAATTTGTGGCCAGAACTGTAATGAAAACATGACAATATTAAGACAGGCTCCAGAGACTAATAATTAGATTGAGGAGATGGCTCTTGGACAACAGCCATAGCCCAAAATAGGTCCAAGAGTATAAGGAAACAGCAGCATAGTCTGTGAGACATGCACACCCCTCCTTCCAACCCAGCCAGCAGCAGGCATATCCGTGATTAGAGCACATTCACAGCCACTAAAGGGACATTCAAAGAAAGGCTGGACAAAACCTAGAGAGCAGCAGGAATAGTTAAGAGTCCAGAACAGCATGGGAAAACTTGACCTAAAGTCATCAGGTTGCTATAAAAAAAAAGATGAGATAACTGCAATATGCATAAACAGCTGCTGCAGAGCTTATGTTGGCCTGGTAAGGACAGGACAAGCAGCAGATGTGCTTTGGGACATCATAAGGGAAGACATTTGTACACTAGAGAAAAAGGGAAAAACATGAGTTTACATACATACACAATCTGTGTAAGGTGAGGAGAGGGAAGCAGTAGAATCAGCTGTGGGAGTGCATTTACTCCATCACTGCTCTTTCATCACCAGAGAATTGCTATAAATAAGCACGACAGCTGCCTGTCAGGACCAGGCTGGAGGCACCCAGCATTGTCTTGGCAGCAAACAAGCTGACAGCACACACTCCCTCCCACTCCCTTTACTCTGGGGGCTGGCACCAACATGCAATGCAGATGGACAGGCCAGAGCACGAGGACCTCTGCTAGAGCCCCCTCTGAAGGAGACTGCTGTGAAGAAGGTGAACCTGAACTCTTTTAGGTCAGTCTTACCAGCTAACTCAGCTCATGCAGGATAATGTGCCACTCCTCAGAGACATCTTCCTGCCAGCCTGCAGAGGAAAATAATTGCTTTGGAAAAGGTTGTCAACCCTAATGACACGCTGGAGGCATCCCGCTGACATTACCCTAATACCCTCATGAACTGTAAATCTCTGCACCGTAAGTTCTTAAGCCAGGAAACACTGCTTATGTTTCCAAGCAGAGCTCACCAAGTGGCAGACAGGAAGGTGCCCCCAGGTTGCAGCTGACTGATGCACATGGCCAAAGCTTAACTACATCTGCCACAGAAAAAAAAAAAAAACAAGCCTGAAGCTACAAGCCTGTGTTCTCCACTTCTCTGATGTGCTGCTCACCTGAGTCTCTCTTTATCCAAACTGTACTTTAAACATCAACAAGCTCAACAGCTCCTTCTCAAAGAAAATTACAGTTGCTTTCACTCAATGCTGCAATTCCCCTTGAGCTTGTCCCTGGGCATTCAGATGGTACAGTATGGTCCAAGAGGGCCAGGTAATCCTATAAAGCGGCAAGGTGGGTGAAGACTGCATGAAGCACAGGAACTCAGTAAGATCAGAGCTGGCATTCCATTCTCC